GCAAATTCATTTTTCCTCTTCCCATGAAGTCTGTACCATTTGTTCCAGTTTGTTCCAGTAACTTCTAAAAGTAGAAAAATAGACATCCATCAACCATCACTTCTTCAAAAATGATACAGATTCAGAGACAGATGCCTTGGGGTTCTTAGTGAGGGGTGTGGCAGTTGTTAAACTGGTTGTTGTGGTCTGGAAGGAGTGGGATGTGTCTGTTGGCATGCACTGTTTGAGATCATGCTTGTGGATTCAAATGTCCCACCAGGATGTCGCTGTTAGAGGGGAAACAGCCAGCTGCTGGCTCACGTGACCCTGGGGGATTCCACAGGCTGTGACAGGATATGGCAGATTCCTGGACTTGATGGGACTCTGATTAACTTTGGAGATGCTAAGATGGTAACTTTGTTTCCCTTTCATATTAGGTGTTGCTGTGATTCACAAATCCTTGTGACCCAGGCTTCCACTGCCAGGAGGTGGAGGAAGGAGCGGGCATTGCCTGTGACCAGAGCATGGAGCAGCGGGACCATGACAATGGAAGAGGTTAACTAGGAAGCTTTGCAGTGGTTTGAGAGCCACCCTCGTTGTCTTAGCAGACCAGCCTTGTCCCTCAGTGTGGGCATTGATGATCCACCTTCTGCTCTGAGGTGCTTTGGTTTCTGCCCTGAACAGTTGGGTTCCCGACAGCCCCACAAAAACTCCTCGTGTGTGTGTGTGTGTGTTTCTACAGGACAATGGAGAGAACTTTGAAGTGTGTGTGTGTGTGTGTGTGTGTGTGCGCGCACGCGTGTGCACACACTTGTATTTGTGTGTGTAGGATTCATTCAGTGGATGCAGGGGCTGTGCGAGTGTCTACTGCATTTCTTTACTGCTGATCTTTTAACTATGCTAAAACACCTACCAATGTCTTCTGGACTCGTCCCATGGGGACCTAGACTACTAAAGCTGCTGTCTTCTTGGGAGGTCCAGGAAGAACTAGCAAGAAGCAGCCCTTCAACCACGTCTGGGACCATGCCTTGACTACTGTGGCTGTGAGGAAGAACTGGTGCTTCCTCAGAACTGCACTGTAATCCTCCGTGTACCTCTGGGGTGCAGCCTCATCCAGCCGTTGCCAGCCACTCCTCCTCGGCTGCACTCTAGGAAGCAGAGAGGAACTGTTTTGTCTTCACGACCTTGGCCTCTAGTCTTTGATGTCATGGATTCCAGGTTTGGAAGATTTTGTGTCTTTTCAGCAGGGAAAACAAACTTTTCAGAGAAACCCCAGGTAGAACACTGGGGTGAAAAAGACAAGAAAAAAACAAAAAACAAAACAAACCCCAGAAAAACCAAAGTGGTCTTTGTACCCACCCAGTGGTCTCAGAGAGGGACCCAGCTTGTGAGTGTTCCAGAGCACCAACCCTGTTTATTATGCTTATTATATGGGCTTACTTATTCATGGTCTCAGATCTCATGTGGAGGACATGTAAAAGGTTACCCTGCCACTAAACCCATAGAGAGACTTGCCCCTGTGTTACATGGGGCTGTATGTAACTCAGAGGGACATGGATGACTTCTAAGGACTATCCAGGCTGGATCTGGTCATTGGCTCTTTGTGATGATGGTCAGGTCTGTCTGTATCTGTCTTCCCTGTCTTCTGTTGTCTTCCTGTTTCAGGGTCCGTATCCATTCCCCAGCCTCCCAAACACCTCTTCTTACTCTCCCCTTTGGGGAGGAGATGGTAGTGGCCCCTGGACTGGAGATACTCTTCAAAGACCCTTGTATTTTAAAAATGAAAGCAACTTATCAAAGTTTTGCTCAGATCAAAACGATGAAGAATGTAACTTCAAGCCCCTGGGGTGGTGTTTGGAGGTGCGTGGAAGCACACACGTTAGGGTTGGGGGGTGTGCTAGCTGCACAGGCATGAGTTTGCTCTCTAGCACTGATGTAAAACAAGTCTGGGTACAGCAACATGTGCCTACAATCTCAAAGCTGGGAAGGCAGGGAGAGAAAAGCTGAGGCTTGGGGACAGCCAGCCTAGGCTAACCAGCAAGTCTCAGGTCCCAGGGAGAGTGCATCTCAAAACAAGTTGTGTGGGTCCTGAGGACCAACTTTGAAGGCTGACCTCTGGTCTCTGTGCAACTCACCCTCCCCACTCACACAAGAACTTCAAAGCTGGACTCTTCCTAAGCTAGCAAATTGCTTGTATTGGGATCTCTGCCCTTGGACTATGCCAGGAGAGCAGTCTCGCACCCATGCGGCAGGGTTTCAGCCTCCCTGGAGTCAGAATCTGTGTAGAGGAGACCAAGGGACTTTGTGAACTCTGATGCTGGACTTCTGACACAAGCAGTTCTCAGAAGCACATATAATAGGTTGGCACCTCCTATCCTCTGCATTTAGAAGCCCAGCTTCTGCCCAACGAGGTGGCCACTGAGTATTTACTGAGTCTTTAAAGTGGACCCTACCATGAGAGTAAAATATTTTTTTTCTAATGTTAAGCAGAAATGAGGCACCACAACACCCAGACAGTAGCCTTAGGAATAGTTAGTAGCTAGAATACCCAGCTTTGGGGGATCCAGAAGAAATGTCTCCCAAGGGATGCAAACAAATTTTTTTGGCCGATGCCCTGGTTCCAGCTCAGAGTTGGGGAGGGTTGCTTGTGAAGCTCTGCCTGGCCTTGTGCTAGAAAGTAGAATGTATCCCTAATTCCCTTCCTCCCTCTCTAGGGAAGCCTGAGTACTTGTTTGAGGTGCAAGGGGTGAAGACAAGGTTGGGGACCAGAGTCTAAGGTGCTGTTTGCAGAAGCACCCCATTTCAGGTGAAAGGTAACCCATCTCCTCCCCCAATCCTAACAAGAATCTAGACGTTTATACTTGGGGGTCAAGAGGAGTCTCTTCTTGGAGACAACCCCTCCTTCCATGGAAGTTGGCCAGCTGCAGTTTTTGCTGGAGTTTTTGCTGTTGGTCCCACCTCCCATCTCCCTTCCCATAAAGCATTGCTTTTGCAGGCGAAGCTGCTGAGGGTTCCACCCATTTCACCCTCATGGGGACTAGAACACTGGTACGTCATCACCAAAAAAGCCAATCTTCCCTAGCTGCCCACAGATGCCACCCCGAGACCCCTGTTGCTCCATCACCAGGCATCTCCCCTTGGTGGACACCTCAGACTCACTTTCAAGTGTGGGCTAGTCACACGGTGGGGAATGCCTCCCCTGCCTGTCAGAGCAGCTGCCACTGCTAGTGAGTCTGAAATCTGAAATCACATCTAATCTGAAATCTGATGGCAGTGGTGAAACGGACTTGAGACCCAAGGTCAAAAGCAGCTTAGACACCACTTGGATGCTGATCTGGACAGCGTAGAAGTTATATTTCTGAATTCCAAAGTCACTTCTCCCAAGTACCCAAGAGCATCTCCACCTTAAAAAAAATGGCAGTATTATGCAAATGAAGTGACCTCATTTTTCTGCTATGCAATAAGAATTCTTAATTCTATCTCATGACAAACCGGTTGCAATACCCACCCCCAGAGGCGTTTCTTAGCTGTCCTACTTTGATGTCTGTTGTGTAATATTTGTACATTTCTGAGCCAGACCCTTTCAAAGATTGCCTTTTTGTAAAATCGAAGCTACAGCTCTCAGGCTGAAGTTTTAATGTAGATATTTTTATAGATAATTTTTTCACGATATTTGAATCACTTTCTATTGTCCACGGCAATGAAATGCTATTCTGTATGTAGCTCACCTTGACACAGTGCATACCTGTAGCTGTCCTTCTTTTGTTTCTCACCTCTCCGAAGCCTCTGTAGCTCCAGGTTCCCAGTATTTTAGGGAGACTGTGGACTCCCAAGATGCAGCCATGGGCTTTGCTTTTTTGTTACTAGACACTAATGTTGAACTTGACTCATCACCCGTCCTCTGTATCTCTCAAAGTCTGCTTTTTGCAGGGCTTCAGCTGGGTTGGCCCTCACAGTGGCAGCTCTCGTCACCTGGCATTGAGCTTGCCCTCTGCTCTGCATTTCCCATGCTGCCTGGGACCTGCAGACCTTGTCCATTCTCTACTGTCTCCTGGTTTTTGGAGGTTTCTAGTACTTGAGGCCTCTGCCTCTGCGGCTGTGTCATGTCTCTTTGGGAAGTTTGCATTCTCTGGACTTAGGTAGAGGGAGTCCCTCGTGACTCCTGGGAAGAATGTGCTTAGCAGATGCTCACAGTGGTTTGTTTTTTTTTTTTTTTTCCCCTGAGCTGTCACCACTCCAGGCTCCGTTTTGTGTATTTTTCTGCCACCCGACTCTTGTTTCTCTTTTTTTAAATCCTTATTACTTTTGGGACAGGTGCCATCTAAGTGGCCCCCATGCTTCTTCCTGTTTGCACCTGATTGGATCAGTGGGAGGCAGAGCAAACCCATTCAGTTGGACAGAATATCCAAGTCTCTGCTGCACAGAAGCAAGTAGGTCACAGTGGTTTCCGTAGGTTTCCCCCTTTGATGTGTGTGAGTGCGTGTTTGCACTACTTAGGCCTCTCATGTTCAGATATGTTGTTTATCTACTGACCAAGCATAGAATCCAGCAGCACTTGCAACATATGGGGACCGAAGAGGCTTCTTCATGTGGGTAATGTGGTGCCGTCTTCACCACGACTCGGGACTCGGTGACTTCTGGATGTATTGGCAGCCATGGCAGGGATACACGGGGCTGCAGCATTTGCAGGAATAAATTGACCCTGTGCTGTTCTTGCCTTTGGTTATAAGATTGTAAATTATGTCCCCCACCCCTTTTGGTGGTAATAAAGGACCCTTGTTGGACTTCTTGTTTGATTTATATATGATGTATAAAATACTTTCTTTGAAAGAAAACTCAAGACACAGACTGTGTGTATCTGCATGGATGCTCTGGCCCTGTGCTTGACATGGGCCATCACACGACACTGGCACAGGTCCATGCTCTGATCTGATGAAAGCATGGATGTCAGGGGCCATGCATCATGTAATACATGATCAATACATGATCAATACATCGGGAGCCGGGAAACATTCCCCCAAACGTGTGATTTTCATAGGATCCCATTGCACTGTACATGACATTTTAATAAATGCGGAACTGCAAACATTCTCAACTTCTTTTCCATTGCACAGCGTCTCGTATGTCTCAAGTATGTAAAGGGCTGACTCGTCCCCTGCACACAATCAGGTGGAAGTTTCTCTTTGGGACCTGCTGCACAGGGTCTCATCAATACCTGCCACCTGGCCCCAGCACAGGGCAGGCCCACAGAGACCTTTAGAGAGGCCTACCTAGTGCAGGCAGTCCCTCTAGAAGGTGTGGACAATGGCTAGGTAGGGGGGGGGATCTGGGCCTGGAAGGGATGATGGCTAACTCTTCTGACGTCGCTCATGGAAGCTGTGTCCCAGGCATGTAGAATGCTTAGCTTGGTGACAATCTCTCAAAGGCACTTCCCTGCTGACATGGATATCCCTCTGGATAAAGACCATGCAGTCCTAGGTCCCTCCAGATTGTCAGGGTGTCTGTCTCATAAAAGGTAACAAATAGACATCCAGGGCCCAGTGCTTACTCGGCACTTGGAAGGAATGCAAAGATGCAGAGAATGCTAGCAAGTTGGATCCAGGTGACGGCCGATGCTTCACACAGCGCTCCTCTCCTGGCCTCCCTTCCTTTATCCCTTGGGGATGAGTGGAAGTTGAGAGGTTGAGTCTCACCACAGACCTCTGAGCCATGAGGAGGAACTCATGTCCCTTTGGGATGGAGGGACAAACAGGCCAACACATTTGTCTAAAGATAACTGTAAGGGGAGACTCACATAAAGGACTCTAGACCTTGGAACTCTTGTTTGAGTCTGGGACTCAGTCTGAGGGGAGACACCAGGATGCAGTTGCTTGAACGTAATAGCTGCTAGCATTTGGTGTGCAGTCACCATGTGCCACTCCCATTTTGAAGAGGGAGGTGACTATGTATTGCTCTGCTAATTCACAGCACCACAAAGGTTAATTGGATCCTTGAGAGGAGACCTAGGCCCTCCACCCTCCTGAGACTAACTGGAGTCCTGTCACAAGGCTGGTGGCTGTGTTCTACAGGTGCTCTTCGGAGAAGGGTCATCGATGTCTGGACCTCAAAAATGTCTCCAAACTCCCAGAGAGGCCTTGATTTCTCTGCCACTGTCCCCAAATGAAAGGAGGCCAGGCCCATGGCTTTGTTATTCATCGGACTTCCCATGCCCCTTCTGGCTCCTTGTTTGTAAAATGAGGTTCCTGTGTCCTTTCCTGCAAATACAAACAGACATCGAGACATCACAGGGCCAGAGAGGAGCTGCCACTCACCTGAAAGTATGGGACAGGCTTAGGAAGAAGGGGCCAGAGGGATAGGGGCTTGGGGAGAAGGGGACTGCGGTGATTTGAATAGGAATGGCCCCCATACACTCATGTGTTTGCATGCTTGGCCTATAGGGTGTGGCACTATTAGGAGGCGTGGCCTTGCTGGAGGAGGTGCGTCACTATGGAGGCGGGCTTTGAGGTATCATATATGCTCAAGCCACACCCACCGTGGCACACAATTCCCTTCCTGTTGCTTGCGGATCAGGACGTGGAACTCTCAGCTACCTCTCCAGCACCATGTCTGCCTGTCTGCTGCCTTGCTTCCCGCCAGGATGATAATGGACTAAACCTCTGAAACTGTAAGCCAGCCCCAGCTAAATGTTTTCCTTGATACGAGTTGCTGTGGTCATGGTGTCTCTTCACAGCAATAAAAAAACTAAGGCAGGGCCAGAAGGACTGAGGTTCAGGGAGAAGGGGACCAGAGGGACTCAGCCATTTCTTAAAACTGTGGAAATGGCCAGTGTGGTGATGGGGAAAGGAGATTTATGAGCAGGAGAGACACACTTCATGCCTCATGTCTGCCAGTCTTGGGCCAGTCTCTTGCATCCCAGTCAGCCCCCAATCTGCAAGATATAGGTGAAACGCCTGCTGGTGACCTGGGAGCAACTGTGGCAGCACAGCCTTTGGACTAGGAGGCAGAGTCTCCTGCAGGGTGGTTGTGTGTGCCCACGTATGCCCAGGTGTGCTGTGTGTGAGCCTGGCGTGCTGGGAGTGTGCAGGAGGGATGAGGGACACAGAAGGGGGGACACCTCTTCTATCTCTGGGCCTTGGCTGGCAGACTTCATTTCTGCAGGAGGCCCAGCCAGGCCACCTGGGAAGGCTTGGTTTCACCTGGAACCACTTAAGTTTTTTTTTTTTTTCTTCTTATTCCTCCCCCCGCCCCAGGGGTTGGAGAGATGACTCCGTGGTTAAAACCACCGGGTCCTCTTCCAGAGGACTGGGGTTGGATTCTGAGCACTCTATGGAGGTTCACAATTTTATCTCCAGACCCAGGGGATTTATGCCCCTTCTGGCCGTCTTGGGTACTGCAGGCACCTGGTGCACATGCGCAGGGGATTTATGCCCCTTCTGGCCGTCTTGGGTACTGCAGGCACCTGGTCTTGGGCACATGCAGGCACGCAGGCGAAACTCTGGAGCATCAGATAATGAGTTTATATGTACTCTAAAATGATTATGTATGAGCATGGACCTTCTCACCTGTGACTTCCTGGGTCATGACCACTGCAGAGTTTTGACAAGGAAATCCTGTGGCCCCGGTTTTTGTGTTTTGTGGCAGAGACACCCAGTATGTGTCCACAGCTTCCCGACTCTGCCTCCTTCAGTTCTGCACCCTACTTCAGGCCACAGGATCACACACCCTGGAGGCTGTGACATGGTTATTCTTCACAGGCTATTCACAGTAAAATCGGTCTGGAGCAAGGATACAGCGTTCTGCACCTCCCAGTACGAGGCTTCTTAAAGCTGTGTGGTTTCCTCTTGGAATTCGTTGCCTTGTCCTCAGGTGTCCTCCCTGAAGGTTATTTCTGTCTGGGTATGGAGTAAATCCTGGGCTCCTTGTCACTGAGTAAGAATAATGTTCCCTGTGTACTTGGCTGAAGGGACACAGGACAGGCAAGGTGGGGTGGGAGACTGCTCAGAGCCTCAATTCCGCCATCTTGCTGGCTCTAGTTGGCATCAAGAGTGGATGTCCCTCTTGCAGGATAAATGAGAAACCCTGAGTGATGGAGACCTTTTGGGCCTGAGACTGGAGCTTTGAGGCAGCTCATTTATCAGCAGTGGAAGTTTCCCTGAAGTGTTGATTGAGGAGCTCTGTGGGCAGCAAGATCGATGACCTTCATCTCAAGAATGACCCATCTGGGCAGCACCATAAATCCTCCTGAGTCCTGACTGCAAAGTGGAGGCGGGTGAGGTTTGGTGTTGGCCTCTTGGAGGCCATTTTCTTCAGCTATTTGTCCTCCAGCCCTTCAGGACACCCTTGCATTTACTGGTAGCCCCCGGTGGGGTACCTGCACTGAACAAAACTGAAGACATATCTCACAATAGAGGTGTGGACGGCCTCTTTCCAGGGCGCAGTCCTACGCCATGCTTACCGGATGAGGCATCGTATCCAGGCAGGGAGCAGGGAGGGGGACTGTCTCAGTGAAGGGTCTGGGCTTTGCTTCTTATCGACAATGTGGGGAGGGTGGTGGTGGCTGAAAGGTCTTATGATGGTGATGTCCACAAGACTTTACACACGAAGGCTCGACAAGACGTCAGTGCCGCCCAGGGAGAAGGCAGAGCACCCTAGGCAGACAGCTCAGCACAGCGTCACCCCAAGGAAGGGTGCCACCCCAGGGAGTGCACAGCTCCCTCGAGGTCCCCCTTCACACAATCCGTCTTCCTGCAGTGGCTCAGGTCTGAGATAAAGGGACAGAGAGCAGGGCTGAGGCCCCACAGGGGATTCCAAATGCATTTTGTAGTCACAGATCCATCATTTTAATGTGACCTGGCCTCCTCTTAGAATGACTAAGGAACCCTCTGCCCTGGTGCTAGTGGCTGCTGCGGAGTTTGGATAAGGAAGCCCACAAACCATCCCCACGCAACCAAATGAAGCCACACACGTTTTGCAAAGGTGGCTTCATTCCTAGTGGCTCCTTGTGACATCTTCTGCCTGAATCTGCCTAGTTCTAAGGACTAGGAATGTGTTTGTAAAACAGCTGCTTCCGGGAAGACTCCAGAGGTCTGGGGAGAGGCAACTGGGGTGGACTAAGGAATTGAATTTTGCTGCCACACGAGTTACTCATCACAAGTGAGGTATCAAATGGTATCCAGAGCAAGGCAGGACCTCAGTGGAACCCTCTTCCTGGCCCTGAGAGACTCTGGGCCATGCTGACAGCCTGTGGAGAAAAGCAGTCTGTAGTTAGTTGCCACCTTCGCTGGGCCACTTCTATGATTTATATATGCCATGGAGTGTCAGCTCTGGGAATACGGTACAAATGGCAGTCCTTGCTGTCATGGGCTCAGTGGAGCTGCTGAGACAATGCCATAAGATGCTGAAGCAGCGTGATGAGCAGAGGCTGGGGAGGAAGCAGGTCTGTGGAAGAGCAGGGTGTGTGCTAGTGACGAGACGGCATCCTAGAGAAGAGGCAGGTGGAATGCTGGGAAGGGAGGAGAAAGCAGTCTGTGGAAGTGTGCAGAGTTCGTGTGTGAGCGTTAGCAATTTGCATCCCAGGAGAGAAATGGGTAGACTTCTGAGTAGAGGGGAGGAAGAAGCTGCAAATACAAAGGCCCAGAGGCTAGAGAGATGTGAGAAAGAAGAACTAGCCCAGCATGGCTGAATCTTGAGGTATAAGTGGGAGATGCAGAGAAAAGAAGCCGTGAAAAGGTTACGTCAGGGTGGGCTGTGAAACCATGAGGCAGGAGGAGGTGCCCTCTGACCTGGGGGTTGTGGGAAACATGAGTGTGGCTAATGTTGTGTTATTCAGGGTTCTCTAGAGGAACAGAACTGATAGAAGGAGCCTCCAGCAGTGCAGGGTTTGATGGGGACCCAACGGAGTCTGCGAACCAAGACTTTTTATCTGAGGGAGTAAGGGAAAAACATGCATACTCTTGGTGATTTCCTCTGACTTCTCTCTTTATCCTTATGTTTTCTTATTTTTCCTCTACATCTTCCTGGCCTGGTGTTTTCCTTCTAACTCACTTTATTTTTTCCCTTACAGCTTATAGA